ATTCCAATTTATTATTTTTCTTTCCCAAAATCACCCCCCCCCTCCCCATTCCCTCCTCCCCCTTTTTTTAGTTTTGACCCTTTTCTTCATTCCTATACGCCTCCGATTTTCCATTGCTTGTAACAAATTTTATGCGGCATTTGCTCTGTTGGAGATGAAGGACGAGGGGGAGGAGGAGGAGGTGGAGGAGGGTTTTTTGGAAGAAATAGGCGATAGATTGAAAAAGAGTGACGAAGACTTTGACGAACTCCTCATTCCGTCTAGTTAAATAAGAACGACCAAAGAGTGCAATGCGCGAGAAGATTTGAAGGTCATTTATGAGTGTTTTGATCGAATCAGTCAAAAAATATTAAAATCTTTAAGAATAGTGTTGATCTAATTTTTAACATATAACAATTGACTAGGGGGTGTTGATCCATTAGAAAGATTCGAGCTTGGAAATTATGTACCATAAAATTCAAAACAGTCCCCCCATAAAATAGTCCACATTTAGTTCAAATACCTCTGTAATTACTTTAAATATAGAGGCTATGAGGGCTATTTTAACGATATTTTTTTATATTTAAAGCAATTACTAAGGTATTTGAACTAAATGTGGACTATTTTATGGAAGTTGAAAAGTTTGAAACTCAACTAAGTTTCAAACTTTGAAACTTAGTTGATTTAAGTATTTAGATACATAGTCTAACAATTAAATAAAGGGAGAGAACTGTAATCTTTGATTAAAATTTGAGGGAAAAATTTATTTAAAAGAAAATTGGTTAAATAAAACATTGAAATTTAGTAAATTTTAATGAAAATTAAAAGAACATCACAAATAATTTAATTAATTTTAAAATTAAAAAAATATTTAAAAGAGAAATCGATAAATATTAATAATATATCTAAAAAAAAGTGACCTTTTACTGCAAATAAGTAATTAAAAATGAAAACAATTAAAAATAAAAAAGGCCAAAAACAGATAATAATTAAGGGATTAAATAGTAAATAATTATTTAATTGTTTTAAAAATAATGATACAAAAATATGCATAAGTTTAAAAATAAATAAAATAGTTTAAATTATTTACAAGCTAAATAACAAATAAAAAACAAAAAATCATTTAAAAAATCTAAAAAATTAAAGCATGTATGTTCTATTGCCCTATTTTTATTCTTCAATTACCTCAATAATCATAATTTATTAAATGAAAATTTTAATTTTTAATTAAACAGAAAATTAAGTTTAAATTTACAAATTCTATAAAGCATTGGAAAATCTACTAAACAATATGTAAATTTACATAAATAAAGTATTTTCATTTATTTTTTAAATTTCTTTCAAAAATATTTTTGTTAATTGTCAAATAAAATTAAATATTTATTTTTGTTTAGTACATTTTTGATTTAATTATTACTGACTTTTTTTTGTTAAAACAAAAATCGCTGTAAAAAAGTTAAAAATTAGGTCGCGATCAAATTAAGCGTTAAATACAAAAAAAGAATCGAGAAATTAATTAATTAATAAAAGAAATATTTAAAAAATAAAAATTATAAAAGGTCAACAAAATAAATATGAATTGAAAGAAGAATTTAACAAAATTCCAAAAGAATTTTTTTCCAAAATAAATAAATCAAGATAAAGAATATATTAATAAATAAATAAAACAAGAAAAAATATAAGTATAAAATCAGGATTTTGGAATTTGAAATTTTTTTGATCATCTCTTTTAAATAGCTCGTTATTCTAAACTAAATTCAAAACGGTTATTTCCTTTTTCTGAAATTTAGGTGGAAATTTTAATTTAATTATGTTTTTAAATTTTAATCAGAAAAATAAGATAATAGAGCTACTCAAAACTGAAATTTAGATAATTAAAATTAAAATGAATAACTTAGTCTAACCTTTCAGACATTAAAGTTTAAAATTTGTATTCCTCCAATTTTTTGGGGATCAAAAATTTTTGATCTTTATTTCTGTCTTGGGTAAACAATCCAAAACAAGATAATGCTCTAATATCTAAATAAAATATTAGATCGGACAAATATTTGATTTAAGAATACTTAAATTGATATAGGCATTTAGTACTGCAAAAATAATTTACAAACATTTATTAATTTGGGATAAATTAAATAAATTTCTGAAATGTTGAATTTAATTTAAAATATTTTAAATATAAATTAAAAACATAGTAACATTATTTATACTCGTTTTTTAATTTCAATTTATATATTCTTTGTTTTCAGTCAAGAAAATCCTTCCGAACAAAATTACTCATCCTATTTTTAATAGGATGAGTAAATTTTAAAACATAGAAAGATTTTATTCTTTAATTGAAAAGATTAATGAATTCCTAAAAGTAAAAAAAATTAAAAATAAAAAATTGGGAATATTTCTAAATTAAAATTTAAAAGTATTACAAAGAAGTTAAAATAATAACATTAACAAAATTAAAGCAGCTGGGTTATATAGCTATTTCTCTCCTTCAGCTAATACAATGGGTTTTTAGGCGGCTGTAGACGAACCAGGCGGCTGTAGACAGCTGTAGACGAACCAGCATCTTCAGCAGACCGGACTGATGTGTTATCCACTGATGTGTTATCCATTAAATAGCTACTATATTCTTTAGCTAAAAACCATTACCTCAGAATATAATCTCAACAGAGTAATCATTTCAAATTGTTTAAGTTAAATAAATACCTGAATACATTCCTATAAAATAATAAAAAAAATATTTTAATTATTTAATAATTTATATTTAAATTTATTTATTTAAATTTACATTACCATATACTATTTTAAATATGAATTTAATTGATTTTGATTTTCAAAAATTGATTTTTACTATTTACCTCTTAATTAAGGGCAACACAAGATTAATGGCGGCTTGTCACAAGCTATTACTTTAAACAACTATTGCATCATACGAATTACCGATTCTCGAAAATTATCAGCACTTCTCCCTTCTAAAATGTTTAACAGTAAAGGGAGAAGATTTTTGAATCTCCTCCCCTAATATATTTTAAAAATAATTCCGTTTATATTCATCGGTTAACCGAGACCGGTTTCTGGCAAAATTTTTCATCCAGAATATCCCATTCATATTTCTTCCATCATTATGGATATATTTTTCTTCCATTACGAGGGATTAAGTGATATTGCTGATCGGGGATTAAGAAGATTCGGAGGATGATATCTAGGGATTCGAGTTGATTAAGAAAGATTAAGATACGAAGTCGAGGGATTTGTAGTTCTATACCATCTGATATCCTTAAATGCGGCATGCCCTATCTGTCTCCTATGGACAACACAAGACTTATGACAGCTCTTTACAGGCAAATCAAACGTCTAACGATAGACTTAAGAAGTCGTCTATTAACTCCTTTCAAAAAATTTTAATAGCAACTGGGGGGGGGGGGGTGAAAAAAATAGCAAGGGGGGTCTCTATAGTATTTAAATATTATGGAAGAAATTTTTTAATTTAACGATATTACACGGCAGTTTAAAATAAGCAAAATTGCAAGGGAGTTGGGGAACATCTTTATGAATATTTAGAATTGTCTTATTTTTTGAACTAAATTGTTTAAAAGTTTTACGAAAATTAGCGGGACATAGGTATTTCTAAAGTTAAGATTGTAAGTTATGATTTGATGTCAAAGGGTCCCTTATTAATTTATTTTTAATTATACATATATTTTCGTTGATAGAACTTGAGGATATTGCTTTATTTTTTCGTCTATGAATTTACTTTAAAACTCCTCGATGCACTTTCATCCTTTATCCAAAGAAATCCACAAAGGTTGTTTTTATTTTCGCAAGCAAATCAAACGTCTAACGATAGACTTATGAAGTTGTCTATTCAAAACCCTTCTTTTAAAAAATTTTAATGGCAAATGGGGGGGGGGGGGGCTTAATTTCCTCCATTTTTCTATCACTCCTCGCTCTCACTTACCTCTCCTCCTCTTGCCATTAAAAATAATTTGGAAATAGGGAAGGGCAGATTTTGTATCACCCCTCCCCTTGTAAAGGCTATATTTATATACATTTACATACACTTGCTTATTCATATTTTCATTTGATTTTTTGGATTTAATTAAAAAATTTTTTCCTTTTTAAAAAATAAATTTCGTTTTTTGAAAAACTAAATGAATATTTTCTCTTTAATTTTCCTTCTAATTATTGTTGTGGATCAACATGTAAGCGGAATGCAAGGAATTTACCGTGGTCAAAAAGATAGTTAGTTTTTGAAATTTATTAAAAATATTAAAACTAATTAGACCCCACCTTTGATTAATTACATCTTCTATCGAAAAGTTGAATGAAAAATAATTTAGGGGAATTATTCATCAAAATCAGCGAATTATTAGAGTTTTTTTTATCAAAATAATGGATATTCAAATAAACATTTTAAAAATTTGTTTATGAAATTGTTTAATAAATTTTATCTTTTTTTGCCTTTTTTAAAATTAATTTTTAAAATTTAATTTCCCAAAAGCACTTACCTATTATTTATTAGTTAAATTTAAAATGGAAGTGTTTTAATATTTAAAAATAAAAATAAAAAAATTATTTTTAGAAAGAGAAAGAAAAGCTAAAGGCATTGCTTTTTCTTCCGCTCCTCTTCCAAAATTACAATTTTCTCCGACTGAATTAACTTTTTTAACTGAGATTTTGAACAAAATTGAATTCAATAATATTAATAATAATTCTAATTTAATTGATATTATTGGTAATAGTTCAATCAATCAAGCAAATTATCCTCAAGTAAATTTGCATCAAGTTATTCCAAGCTTCAATGCAAAATTGCGAGTGGTGAAGAACTTAATATACCGTATTTTCTCCAAAATAGCCCCCTCTCTAAAATAGCCTCCCTCTAGGAGTCGATCGAAAAAAATAGCCCCCGGGGGCTATTTTAGAGAAAATACGGTATTTAATATTTTTAAATATACCTTGTTTAAAATTTAAAAAATTTTAAAATGTACAAAGAAATGTACAAGAAATGTACTTTTGTAGTCTTTAAAATGTACAAGACTACAAAAGATTTGTTTGTTGTTTGGCATTTGTTTGGCGTAGCTCGAAGTCTCATCCACTCATTTCTTGAAGATTATAGTCGAAACAAGAACGATTACGATCGAAAGCTGTATTTATATTTTACTATAAAATTAATTTAAAAATTTTATTTTTAAGTTCTCGGCAACGAATGTTAATTTCCGTTTTTAGTTACATTAAGGCTTTTGATGAGCTTGAATTAAAGGCTAATTTTTTGATGCGATGGTTGCGAACCAAGGAGGAGTTATCTCTACAAGAAGGAGCTATCCGATTTAATCACATTGGATTTTATTATAGTAAAAATTAATTTAAAAAATTAAAAAATCATTCGAGAATACAAATTAATTTTTAAATTATAAAATTAACAAAAACAAAATTCTTTAAAAACAATTAATTAATTAATTAATTAAGCCCGTCCAAATATGTTAATGTCCTTGCAAGAAGCGGAAAATCATGTAAATGTAATAATATATCCCGTCCAATTTAAAGATGTTGGCAATAATGACAACATAGAGTTTAACTTTATAATTGATATTAGTGATTTGTACCTTCCAAAATTAACAAATGAGGAATGTCAAAACATTAATTTCCTTATACAAACTCAAGCAAATATTCAATTTTATAATTTATATAATCAAGTTAACGAAATTGTTAAACGAAAAATTGATATTTTGATTGGCCGAAATTTAAAAGAATTATTCATTGGAAATAAAGAATATCTCCCCGAAAATTCTGAAAATTTACCAAATCGTTTTAACTTCGTCATGAAAGTAATTTAGAATTAATTAAACTCTGTGTTAAGAAATTATACGTCATTTTGGTTATTTTTCGGTATTATTTGTATTTTATCAGTATTTTTTATGAGTATTTTCGGATAAAATCTTTAACTAATTTCCAAAGAATTTGTTAATAAGACAGAAATATTGACAGTCTTGGTTGAGGATATTTTTTAAATTAATTAATAAAATACAAATTTTAGATTAGAGATGAGTGTTTGGCTATAATGTCAGATCATGCTGAAGCTAGTGCTCGTGGTATTGACCTTGTTCTTAAATTATGAAGGAAAAGCAAAGATGTTAGCGCTGAAAAACAGCGCTGAAAATTCAATTTTTAAATATTTATTTTTTAGTTTAGACTTCAAAGAAGTGATTTATTTTTTTAATTTAGAAGAGAAACATCTCTTTAGTATTTAAATTTTATTTAAGATATTTTTTAACTTTTATGTAGTTACACGGCAGTTTTTATTAAGCAAAAAGAGGAGGTGGAGGGGGAGTGAATTCAATTTACCGTATTATCTCTAATACAGTACTGCACAAAAGTATAAGAACACTTATAAAAAGCTTATAACTTGGGACATACTTGACCAAATTTTATCAAATTTTGTGTAAATATGTGGATTATAAAGAGAAATACGATTAAATAATTAAAATTTAAAATTTTTAAAAATATCTCGTCAAAAACTTAAAAATATTAAAATGGCGCGATTTTTTTACTGCACGAAAGTATAAGAACACTTTGGTTTTTCGTAGTTCTAACAATAGGAAAAATCCGAAAAAAATTCATCAGACATATATATGCATACTATGAAAAAATAAAAAAACCAGGCCCATATCTCACTTCATTGCCGAGATCTCGATACCTTGAAAATCCACGTAAAACAGGGGTAAGCAACTTTAAAAATATTTTTCGACCCCTTATAGGTTGGTCTAAATTTTTATTTTAGGCTTATTTGATAGCCCTTGAAATTTGCTACAAGATGGCATTTATCTTATTTTTCAGAAAAATATTTCATCAAATTATTAGGCTTTAAATTTCTAATGAGAAAAAAAAACGCTTAAATGACCCAGAAAATACCCTTAAGGTTGCTTCGGAAGATTAACGACTTATAGCTCGCTTTTAAATTTTTTCTGAAAAATAAGATAAATGCCATCTTGTAGCAAATTTCAAGGGCTATCAAATAAGCCTAAAATAAAAATTTAGACCAACCTATAAGGGGTCGAAAAATATTTTTAAAGTTGCTTACCCCTGTTTTACGTGGATTTTCAAGGTATCGAGATCTCGGCAATGAAGTGAGATATGGGCCTGGTTTTTTTTATTTTTTCATAGTATGCATATATATGTCTGATGAATTTTTTTCGGATTTTTCCTATTGTTAGAACTACGAAAAACCAAAGTGTTCTTATACTTTCGTGCAGTACTGTAGTATGGCCGGCCATTCTATTTTTCGATCATCCTCCAGGGGGCCATTCTATTTGAGGGGGCCATTCAAATGGAGACTAAGCCATACTAAACTTAATAACTAAAAGATTTTCAAAAAATAGCTAGGCAGATTTTTGATTTTAAGGTTGTAATTCAGTATAGTATCTGGTTTGAAATATTCCCTTAAACTGCCTGTGTGTTAGTCTAACAAAAATTATTATGAATTTATTTGATAAAATTTTGAATTTATTTTTTTTATAAAGTTTTACTAAAATTACTATAACAAGAATTTCTACTAAAATACATATTAAATACAAAATGATCTATCGATATCCCTTAAATCAGCCTTATCCCTTCAAATCCATCGCACCCTATATCACTTTAAATCCCCTTAATCCTTCAATAGCTTTACAAATAATCTTCGGTCTCGACTCGACCGGTCCTATGTCTCGGAACTTTGTTCTCGGACCACGCCGAGAACTGAGGCTAATTATGCACCTCTAAGAATGGACGTCTTTGACAGATAGATCCATTGATAGATAACTTTCCAAATCGTCCAATATATCTCGAAATCCACCTTCATCCCAGTAAATCATTCGATATTCTTCTATTCATTCAAATTCAACGATATCGCATAAACAGGGTACGGCCCACTTAGTCGCGGGCCACTTAGTCGCGACCACTTAGTCGCGACCACTTAGTCGCCGGCCACTTAGTCGCCAGCCCACTTAGTCGCCGGCCACTTAGTCGCGAATGGTCATTTTTCCCAGGAAAGGATTTAAAACTTAAACCAAGAGAACCAAGACAGCGCAAACCGATTTTTAAAAGTCGGTGTTTAAAAGTCGGTGTTCATCAAAATTTATTAAATGTAAAACGTTCTAACAAAAACTACATCTGGACTACATCTGGCACGATGTAGTCCAAATCCTGCCTTTACATCCGTTACTTCTCTCGTCACAACGCCAAAATATAAAATGCCCGTCCGCACTATCTTTGTCCTTCACGTAACAGTAGCCGTTGTGAGTATATTTTTCGCGATTTTTATTAGAGAGCATATTGGAACTTTAAAAAAAGAAACATTAGCAAACAAAAGAACATAATGCAACAGAAGATTTATAGGAAAAAGAAATTAAAACTATATGAAACTAGAACTAGAAAGAAATTTTAAAAATTAAAAAAATAATAATTTCCTGGGAAAAATGACCATTCGCGACTAAGTGGCCGGCGACTAAGTGGGCTGGCGACTAAGTGGCCGGCGACTAAGTGGTCGCGACTAAGTGGTCGCGACTAAGTGGCCCGCGACTAAGTGTCCGTGTCCCGCATAAACACTCTTGATCCCTCGATATCATTCCCAAATTGCTCGGCATTTTTTCCAAGTTGTAAACATATTTGTTGCGAAAACTGCTTTGAATTGGCTATACTCCGAATCGACCTTAACCTCTTGTTTAAAATTCATTCTTTAATAAACTTAAAATATTTTCATTTTTCTAAATAAGAATAAAAATATAAACATTTGCTACAAAGACTAAAAAAATGTTGCTATTTTCTGTTCGCAATTTTTCCACTTCTCGGATTTCGCGCGCATCAGCTCTTAAAGTATGTTTGCTTTCTCTTAAATAAATTTAAACAAACAAATCAATCTTTTTTTTTAATTATTTCTAAAAATTAAAAAGGAAGTATTTATTTTGGATGCTTGCCGCACACCTATTGGCTCTTTTCGTTCACAACTTGCTTCTTTACCAGCCCCTTCATTAGCTTCTGTTTGCATTAAAGAACTTATAAAAAGGACAAATATTCCGGCGAAGGAAATACAAGAGGTTTTTTGTGAATTTTTTTTTGAATAAAAAAACATGTTTTTAACCTAAATTAAAAATTATCACAAATATTCTAATAGAAGCCCATCCCTATTAGAAGCCCACTCGATGAGGGGTATTAAAAAATAGAAGCCCTGGGGCCTATTCCACAAAACGACTTTTACTGTCACTGTCGACAGAGAAATGTCAACACAAATTATTGAAAAAAGTAGTTAGAGATAATAAGGAGCAGACGATCTGGGCTTCTTTTAGGATATTTACGGTATTTTTATAAATTTGATTTAATCAAAAAGGCTTTCTTTAGTTGTGTAAAAATGACAATGATGAGTACAAACATAAAAAATAAATAATGCTTATAGCAAATGAATATTAATAAAAAGAACGGATATCTGAGTCATTTCTTTTTTATTTACTAGGTCGTTTCATAAAAAAATTTTGTTTTTTCCAAAAATAAGTTTTCCAAGAAAAATCGATAAATCTCGAGCAAACACAGATAAAAAATCTAACTGTACTAAATAATTGCCCCGAGTCTTAACAACATTCTTCAAACAGAAAAAGCTTTGTGGATACCCCTTTTTGAAGAATCTGACCTCATTTCTGATGCCTAGTAATTGATTTTAAAAATAATTTTATATTCAAATTTTAAAAAATATTTCTTTTCAGGTTTTCCTTGGTCAAGTCTGTCAAGCAAATGTTGGACAAGCTCCTGCTAGACAAGCAGCCTTAGGAGCTGGTTTCTTATCTTTAATTTTTTAAATAAAATTTTTATTTTAAAAAAGGTTTGGATGTCGGTGTTGCTGTTACAACAATAAATAAAGTTTGTAGTTCCGGGTTAAAATCGATAATGCTTGCTGCTCAACAAATACAAACTGGACATCAAAATATTGTGATTGGAGGAGGTTTGGATATTTTTTGTTGGAAATAATTTTAAAATAATTTTTGGGACGTCTTTGCCTATTTTTTTTATTTTTCTTATTTTTTTTAATTTAGGGATGGAATCAATGAGCCAAGTTCCTTATTATTTGGAACGGGGAGAACTTCCATATGGAGGAGCAAAATTAATTGTATTTATTTTTATTTTTTTATATAAAAATTAAATTTTCTGTCATTTTGTGGTACTCTGAATTTCTTCCACAAAATTTTTTCCACGATTTAATTTTTTTCAATTTTTCCACAAAATTCTAAAAAAATTTAACAAAAAATTTTATTTCAAAAGGACGGAGTAGTTAAAGATGGCTTAACTGATGCTTATGACCAACACGTCCATATGGGTGTTTGTGCTGAAAAAACGGCAAAAGATAATTCAATTGGACGTGAAGAACAAGATGAATATGCAATTCAAAGTTATAAACGTTCTGCCGCTGCTTGGGAAGTAAATTAATTTTATTTTTTATTTTTGGGCGTTTTGAACTTTTGACATTAAAAAAAATTTTTTTTCAATTTTTATTAGAGTGGAGCAATTAGTAAAGAAATTGTTTCTGTTGAAGTAAAACAACGAAAAGGGACACAAATTGTTAGCAAAGATGAGGAATTTACTAAAGTTGATTTCGACAAATTGAAACAATTACGTGCTGTTTTTCAGAAAGGTTGGAGTTTAAAATAATTTTTTTTTGCTTTTTAAGAAAGAATTTCAAAAAATAGAGAATTTATATATTTTTTTGGTTTTCTAAAATTTTAAAATTTAAAAAGAAAATGGGACAGTAACAGCTGGAAATGCTTCAACATTAAATGACGGTGCTTGTGCTGCTTTACTTTCAAATTCTGAAATCGCCAAAAAATATTCTCTTCGTCCATTAGCTAAAATAATTTGTTTTGCTGATGCTGCGACAAATCCAATAGATTTCCCTGTTGCCCCTGTTTTGGTTATTCCAAAGGTTTTTTTTAATTTTTGTGAAAATCTTTAAAAAAAATTTTTAATTGAAATTTTAGAGTTTTTTTAATTTTCAAATATTTTAAAAATGAAAAACAACAATTTTGATTTAATCCAAATTTTTTAAAGTTACTTTCTTCTGCTTCTTTAAAACTTGGAGATATTTCTCTTTTTGAACTTAACGAGGTTTTTTTTAAATAAAAAAGGAATAATTTTTAATTTTTTCATTAGGCATTCTCTGTTGTACCTTTAGCTGCAATTAAAAAATTGGGGTTAGATCCAGCTAAAGTAAATGCCCATGGAGGGGCTGTTTCTCTTGGACATCCTATCGGGTAAAAATTAATTTCAATAAAAAAATTTTTTAATTTAAAAAAAGAATGTCTGGTGCCCGTATTTTGACCCATTTAGTGCATGCTCTAAAGCCGGGACAATTTGGATTGGCTGCTATTTGTAATGGGGGAGGTGGGGCTAGTGGAATGATAATTCAAAAATTGGAATAAATATTGATATAAAATATTAGATTTTTAAAAGATTTTCTTTTTTTTTTTATTTTTGTAAATTTTATTTTCGAATAGGGATGAGAATATTTTGTATTTTCTAATATTTTTTTAGTTATTTTCTATACTTTCAACTAAAAAAACAATTTTCTTGCCTTTTTATAAAATATTTTTGGGATTTTTAATATTTTAAAATAATAAAATTTATATTTCAAAAATTTATTTTTTATTTACAAAAAATATTTAAATGGCACTTTTTAAACATAAAAATGAGATTATATATTTAAAATATGTATTGATGCACATCGATTGATTGGGGTACTTTAAAAATTTACTGAATTTGTTATTTGAATCGGAAATTCTCTTAAATAAAAACCAATTAATATTTTCGCAGATTTTCGGATTTTTAACAAAAAAAACTTCGATTCCCCCACCAATCGGGCTGTCAAAACAATTTAAATGACAAATAAATTATTTGGGTACATTTAAGCCTCTTATTTAATTAAGAGATTTTAAAGAGATACAGCGGTAACATTATTGTAGGTAGCACAAAAGGGTTCTTCTCCATCCTTATTTGTAACAATTGCTGTTTTGTAGAAAAGTTTTTTGTTATTATTTTCCCCTTCAGTGTCTGTATTAATTTCTGGGGGTGCTGATAATAATCTTTGAATTTTTGAGGGCCAATTTGGATGGCTCTGGAAATTTAAAAGATTTTTTAAACAATTTAGTAATAAAAACTTTTTGTTTAAATCCTCTTCTAATTAATTTTTTAAATGCTTCTCTATAGGGTCGCAAAAGAATAAGTGTGATTAATGCATTGCTTAATGGATGTAAAGAAATAATTCCTTCTCCAACAATAAACCAAACTAAAGGTATATCTACGTCATACATTAAACAAAGACCTAAAAATAATGAAAATTATTTAAGAATATTTTGAGTTTAGACATCCTCTAATAACACGAGCATCAAAATTTTAAACTTACCTCGTACATACCAATCACCCTTTTCTGTGTACCAAGAGATAATGTGTAGGTAGGTCGGAACAGCCAGAGGTGTAGGAAAAGCCGTAAAACGGAACTGGCTCAAAAGGCAGAAATAAAAATTTTTTCGGAAATCGGGAGGAAAAACCGTCGAAAATCGGAATTCCGACCCACCTCTGCAAAGGATGTATTGTAGAAAAATTTTTATTATTTCTTGACACAATTTGCAAAACGGGGGTAAATCTTACAATAATCACCCTATGCTAGTTTTGGAGAAAAGGGACATATATCGTTTAATCGGACCAAATAATTAAAAAAACATACAAGCAATATAATAAGGCGTTGCAAGTGCCAACGGCAAAAATGCTTGTAAAATGTAAGTATAAATTATGCTTTTGTGTTGTTGGAGTTGGCGGGGATTTAGGGAACGTCCACATTGTTTTCTAGAGGTTTTTGATTGTCTTTGAATAATTGAGAGAAGAACGAGAATATTGCAAATAAAGGAAAAGGCAAAGAAACTTGGGGCTAATACAAGAAAGAAAAACTGAAAAATAAAATAATTTTTCAGAAATTATTTTAGACTAACCATATTTGTATATAAAGACATTCTAATATATTTAAACATATAATCATATAAAATAACATCTTGTAAAAATAAATCATAAATAGCTACAGCCATAGGTATAGCAAAACAAATACCCACAATCCTCTTTAACCAACTAATCTTTAATTCAACATTTTGACAAATAAATAAATATTGGTCGACTGCTAATAAAGGAAATAAAAAATAGCAAACATAAGAAGTATTGTATAAAACAGTTCTGACAAAGCTACAAATAAAGAGAGAGAGACGAGTCTTTAAATTAAATAAAATTTAAATAGATTAAAAAATTCTGATTTTGTGTTTCACATTAAATTAGAAAATCAGAATATTTTAAATAATCAGAATTAATTTTAAGACGTTGTACTATTTTATTTTTCAGAATTAAATTAGAACCCGGTTGGTACCCTACAATCGACGGTATTTTAAGTATTTATCGGTATTCCGTATTTTCTCGATTAATTCCCCTGGGGAAGTATTTTTTCAACCCATCCGTGTCATGGGGAATTATTCGAGGGTGGGGAATTAATAGAGAAAAAGGTATTCCGTATCGGTATTTAAATCCCTCTCGAATCCCAACCCGAGATAAATATCTCCTAATCGACCCAAATCCCTAGATATCTCTGTTAATCCTCTAAATCTTTTATTATTCCTAATCCCTCTATATTCACCCATCGGGACTCGAATTTAAAAATTGTGTTTTGTTAAATAAAATTCTGATTTTATTTTCTGAAAATTCTGATTTTATTTTTGTCTTTTAAATAAATAAAAAAACACACCTCTGTTATAACAGCATATAAATAAACAAAATTGAGTGTTAAAAACCCAACAAGGCCAAAAAGATTAGCCAAAGTCATTCCTATAAAAATAAATATTTTTATTAGAAATTTTTTTCAAAAAACTTCCAACCTAAAGTTGGAAATTTAACTCTCGAAGTAATCAAATCAGTTCTTAGCCCCATATATAAAAGGCAAATATTTGGAGGGAGAGCAAGTAAATAAAATATTGTGTAAATTAAAGAATTGGGTAAATATCCAGGCAAAGCAGAAACTCCAAATTTGAGAGAATCTTCAGATTTTGGATTATAAAGTAATTCAAGATCAGTCACTTCTTTGAAGAAACTACTCATTTTGAATAACTGAAAATTTATTTAAATTTTTATTTTTTTTCAAATATTAGTAAACTTTTTGTAAAATAATTTTTTTAATTAATTAATTATTTAATTCTAAAGTATTTTGTGGTTTAGATTTTATTTCATATAGTTTAATTTTCAAAAGTTAAAAAAGAAAGAAGTAGAAAGCCATTTAGGTAAGTTATTTATTTATTGCTTATTTTAAATCCTTTCTATTTTCTTTAAAATATTTTTCCAAAAAATTTTCAGATTTGTTTTTATTTAAATATTATATTAGAAGACTAATACTTTTTTACTTCCTGTATATTTTTTAAAAACAAATTAATAATTAATTTTAAATAAATTAAAAATTCACCTATTTGCCCTTTTATTGTTCTCTTTTATTTATTAGTTTCTGACAATTTTTTTGAGAGAAAAAAATATTTTATTTAAATTCTCTACATATATTTTGTAGTTGGCATTTTAAAGTAGTAGAAGAGAAAATTAAAAAAATTTTTGTGTGAGAGAATTTGTGCCTTTAAAAAAAGGAGAAGCTTTGGAAGAGGGAGAAGAAAGGGATTTTTAGTTGGTAGAAAGTATTACCTAAAGGTATAAAAAAAATAAATTTATTTATTTGAATACATGTGACAGATACACACACACTCGTTAAGGGAAGAAGAGACAATTTCTGAGAAAGAAGAGTTTGAATTGGTTGAAAAAAATTGGAGGGAGAGGGGGGGGGGGGAAAGAGAGGTAAAAATGGGGAAAGGGAGGGGGGAAGAACAATAATGATGAAACAAATTACGTAGAAAAAAAGAAGTACAAAAAGCTAGTTTCTATTTGCGTGTTTCTGACAATTTTTTAACCAATATTTTCTGAGAACGGAAAGAAATTGGAAAATTAAAAAAAATATTAATTTTTTTTTGTTAGCAGTTCCTTATTTGTAGGTATTGAAAATGGATATTTGGGGAATGAAAATAAAAGTTTTAGAGAAAAAATTGAAAACGAGGTGTAATTAAATGAAATGTATCTGTTATAAAAATCCTAGTTGATCTGGATAGGGGAGATATTCGAGAGAATTGTCTAAATTTTAAAATTAATTATTTTCTAGTTTTGTGAGTAAAATAATAATTTTATAAATTATTAAATATCAGAATTTTTAAAATTTTAGGTATTAAAAAGAAGAAGATTTTTAATAATTATTTAAACAAAATTTTTAATTTTTAAGCCAAAGTTTGAGAAGAACAAATAAAAATTTTAAAAATGTAAACTACAAATACACATATTTATTTAAATATTACGTGTTTTATAATTAAATTGCAAATTATTCTAGACAATAAAAAAATTTATGTAAATAATTTCTAAAATTCTAAAAATTTTTAAAAATTATTTCCTGTATAAATGTGGGTGTTATAAAAGGAAGACTACATACTAATTTAGCTTTTAAATAAATAAAAAAAAAGACAAACATTAATTACTTTAATTGATTAATTAAATATAATTAATTAAAGGAAACACACCTTCTCTTCTCTCCCTTTTAATAAAAAACTTAAAATAATTAATCAAATGATTTTTGATATAAAAAAGTAGGGAAAGAATGTTGATAGAGAGGAGAGGGAGAGAAGGGAGAATTAAAAGGATTGAATGAGAATTTTTTTGGAAAGTTGATTCAAAAATTTTATTATTTTAAGATTTTCAAGGAGTAATAATATCCCAGAAGTTCCAGCACTTTAATCAAGGGAGGCATATCTAAAAAAATTTTAATTCCCCAAAAAATCCTGAAAATCAGAATTTTCGATCTTTAATTTAATAATTATTTAAAAATCAAAAAAACTAAAAATAATAACATAGAGATTTTTAAAATAAAAGAATTATAAAATCTAATCTTTTTAATCTTTAAATTATTTAAATATGTTTTTAATAATAATTGTGTAGGTGTTAAAATTAAATTTTAATTTTTAGTCTTCTTCTTCAAACAAAAATAATAAAGAAATAAAATTAAATACTTGAGATGTTTGAAATTTAAAAAGAATGGAGAGATCTTTAAAAAATCTTAAATAAATTAGAAACATAATGGGAGGGATGTGCACAATAAAAATTTTAGTAAAAAATAAAGAATGTAAAGAAAGCGCCGTTAGTAATTGTGCACATCCAAAACTTTTAAAGAAAGCCTAGAAGCGCCAATTATTTTAAATGGAATTTTAAATAAATTAATTAATTATTTAAAAAATCTAAAAAAAGAAAAAAAATTCTCCCTCCATTTAAGCTTGAGGATTTAAAAAAAATTTGTAAGGAATGGGAAAATTGTTTAAAAAAAGAAAAAAAAAGTAAATTAGTGTAACAGACTAAAAAATAAATAAGTGAATGTTTTAGACAGAAATATTTATTTAAAAAATTAAAAAACTTTTATAAAGAACCGGAAGTATTAAAAACAATTATTGTTTAATTAAAATTTGTGAAGAAACGAAAAGTAAAGAACAATTGAGGGGATATATATAATCGGTGCTGTCATGATCGAAAATTGAGAATTTGGTTTTGTGTCAGAAATATAAAAAAAGAAAGTAAATAAATTCAGGAAATTTAATACAATTTAGGGAAAGTTCAAATTATGGTAGTACATAAACAAAATGTTTTTAATTTTGAAATTTTTTGCTAAAAATTAACCGTCCTTATGAAATTTAACAACTGAAAACCGGAAATTTATGAAAATGAATAATTTTTAAAATTCTCTAAAATAGACCCGGTATTTGCCTAAAACTTAAAGCCGAAACCCGGGGTTTTTATATTTGGATTAACCGAGGGGATACGGTTAATAATCGGTTATGTCCTACACTAGTTTAAACTTTTGATTTTAATAATTATTTAATTTATACCAAAGTATTTAAAAATTGTTTTTTATAAAGAAAGATGGTCATTATTTCCGTAAAAACGAACTTTAAATACGCCAAGTTTCCTTTTGTTTTTTATTAGAAAAGATTTTTTTAAAATTTTTATAGCAAAACTTAAAAATAAAGAAAACCACGTTTTAATCCCTTAACTTTAAATGGGAATTGTGTTATAACGAGTTTTAGATTTATTATTTTCTTTCTTAGAAAGTTGAAAAATAAATAAAATTTTGAGAATATTTTTAAAAAATTTAAAAAATAATTAATTAAAACCACATTTTAAAAAATATTTTCTCATTCATAATATAAAAATATTCTTGTGAAAATAAAATAAAACAAAATATAGAAAACACACAGAATATTTTTAAAGCATATTTTATGAGGTTAGGAATATTTATTTTATTGGAAAGAAGTGCATTTTGAATGGGTAAAATAAATATTTTTTAAAAAAAATTAGAAATTATTGTTGAGATTTGGAAGAATTTATGTCTATTAATTTTAAATTGTGGGATAAAATGTCTGGAAATTAAAAAGAAAATTTTTGTTTAAAAATTGTAAAATTATTTATTAAAATAATTTTAAAAAATATTGGGAAATAAATAATAATTTTTGAGAAAAAATATCCATGTCTTATTGTTAGAAGAAGCTATTATTAGCTAGTTACTTTAATTTATTGCTTATCTAGTCCGCAACAAATATGTTAACATTCTAGTATCTTAAATATGAAAAAATAAATTTTTTAGAAAATTTCGGAAATCCGAAGGAGTAATTAAAGAAAAGGGGCAATGCCAAAATTAATTTATGTTTAAAAATCAAAAAAATCTTTGAAAAGAAAAAAGATTTATTGAAAAGATAAGTAGAGGGTCTAGACAATTTTTAGAAAAAATTAAAATGATTTTTTATTCAATTAAAATATTAAATTCTATTTTTGAGGAATATTTATGGAAATTCTTTAATTATTAATTTAAAGAATATCATATTTTAATAAAATTCCGGGATTTTTCTATGCCTTTAAAAGCTTCCGTTTAGCTGCTCGCTCTTCTCTAATAGTTAAAATAATTTTCTTTTTCAATTTATTTTTATTTTTAAATAGAAAAAAAAGAACTTATTTATTTATTTAAGTAAATTCACTAAATAAACTCTCTCCTCTCCCTCTCCTCACTCTCTTCACTTTTCTCCACTTCATTTTAATCGGTCTCGAGGGGAATTTCTTCTCTTCTCTCCATTTTAGTTTTTGAGAGGTTTTTCCTCATTTTATATTTTTTTTGTTTAAATGACTAAATGAGTGAATAAATGGTTAACAATATTTTTTTGGGGAAATAATGAAAATATATAAAATAAAAGGGGTTTTTTAAAAACAAATAAAAGGATATTCGAGAAGAACTAAAAATTTATTTATTAACAAATTAAAGAAAATAAATAAATGAGGAATGTTTTTAAATATAAAATTTGTATATTTTTTTGTTTAGCTAAAATGTTATCCTTGAAATGACATTTTATTAGATGTCTGGACATTCTATTTTCAATCATTTTTCAAAGAGTTATTCTATTAGAAGGGGCCATTCTAATAGAGTTTATTAATAATGAAAAGAAAAAAATGAAATAAAGGGGAAGGGGAAGAAAGGAGAATAATTAAAAAAATTAGATGGGGTATCTAAATTTGAGCTTCGGAAGGTTAAATTAGATCCTTAAAATAAATTATACTTTATTTTCAATAAAATACCCATCTTGATATAAAAAAGGATTCAATGGATATTTAAAAAAAATAATTTTATTTCAAAAAAATATAATTATCAAAAATATGAGTAATCAATTTAATAATTAAATAAATAAATTGGATTTGAAAAAATATTATTTATTTATTTAAAAAGGGAACAAAATTATTTTTAAAATAATCCTGCCTTTCAGGCATTCGTTTTGGTCTGTTACCCATTTGCTGCCTTTTCTTCTTAACAAAGAGCTAGTAAAGGATGGATTTTCTTTTTAAAATTTAAAATAAAAGGAAAATTTCCCCAAAAAAGAATAATAAATTTAAAAATTCAAAAATCACCACGTCAGAAAATTTAGAAAAATTAATTTGCAAAATACCCTAAACTTTCAGCAAAAGACATAAAAATAGGTATACACAAATAATTTAAAATAAATAAAAGCAGCCGGAAATTTCGGTTCTAATATCGGACTAGGATATTCGGAGATTTTCAGGGTCCGTTAACACTAACAAAAACAATATAAACTATTTGGCTCTATGTGAAAGGAATGCCGCTATCCAATTTTTTCCATATTCATTCCACTGACATAATTAAATGAAACACAGTTTTTAATCTTTTTTAAAATTTTTCTAAAGATTTTTCTATTTTAGGAAAGACTTTTAAACAAAAATTTTCAAAAAAAACTTTTAAAAAATAATTTAAATATATTTAATAAAAATTAAAAAGAAACTACATATATTCCAAGAAAAAAATTCTTTAAAAAAATAAATATCTTTTTTATTTTTTTGTAAAGATTTATAAACACAAAAAACATGTGTTATTTGAAAGGAAGTTAAAATTTGGCACCAAAAATAGAGAAAACCTTAAAAAGGATTTAAAAAAGGATTTTTGGTTTTAGAAAAGAGAGAGAGGGGCTTTAGAAAGCTTTAGGCAATTTAAAATAAACATTTTAAATAAAATTTTAAAAAAATAGTGAATTAATTTGAAGGGTTTTAGAAGTATTTTTGTCTATATTTAGGCAAGATTTAATAAAAATTATTAGAGATTGGACCGAAAATGAAATTCTCAGTCAAAAATTTTCGATAATCGAGGAAAGGTAGAGCAGAAAGTTCGATCTCTAATAATTATTATTTTGTATATTTTCTAGTCTAATAATATTAATATTTAGTAGCATTTATTTGGCAATCTAATAATTATTTTTTGTTTTAAATGTCCAAGGAAAACACTTGACAAAAATTAAATTATAAACAGAGCTTAAACATGTAAATGGTTTTAATTTTGGTTAGTAAGATTTAGAATATTATACGATTGTGTTTTTAAAAGAAAAAAAGTAAAACTCTCCTCTATTGTTAAAATAAAAGCAAAATTTAGTTCAAAATCTATTCGTTATTTATTTTAAACAATGACATCAAAAATATTTTAATTAATTAATTTTTGAACATTTATTTTTAAATTAATTTTAACATCAAAAAACAAATTTTTCTTTTATTTTTATTTGTTTCTAAAATAAATAACGAGGATTGAATTACTTTTATTTATTTTTTTTTATTTTGTTATAAAACAAATAAAATAATTGGGGAAAGGGAAAGAAATATTTTTAAATATGTATGTATGTAAAATAAATTATATTTATTAGTTGGCTAAAGTCCCTCAATATTTTAAATTTATTTTAAACAAGCGGTGTTGGTTCCTGAAAAATTTTCGGATATTAGGAACTGAACAAAAAACAAAAATAATAAAGCTTTAGAAAAATAAGTTTCAAACTAAAGATCCTATAAATAAAAAAGGTTTTCTTTAACAACAAATAAACTTTAAAAAAATAAAAAAGAATTAATGAGTTCGTTAAATAAATAAATATAAAATTTTATTGAAGAACAATGAAAAATTAATTATTTCAGAGATCCCTTAATATAATAAAAGATAAAAATTAGTGAGGCAGAAATCAAATAAAATCTCTTAAAGTACAAATAAAATAAAAATAAAATAAAGTCTTCAATAAAGCCTTTTTCCTTTGTTAGTTATTGGCTTTGTTAGAAAAAGTAACACAAACATATACTAGACAAATATTTTTAAAAATAAATAATTTAAAATAAAAAAGTAAATTATTAAATATTTTTTGAGTAAAACGTTAAAAACCAAAAAATAAATTTATTAAAATTAAAAATACTTTTTACAATAATATTTACTAAAAATAAATTTAAATAATTATTTGAATTAATCCCTAAAACGTTTTTAAAGTATTAAGCACCTCACATGGGGGGGGGGGGGGGGGGGAGGGGGAGATATCAAAATATTTAAGTCTGTTCCAATTAAAATTATTAGTATAGTAGATCAAATCGTTTTCGAACTAAAAACTAATTATTTATACAATTAAGATATCGAGAGTTAAAACCAAAACTGATATACTAGTTCTAAACAGTGTTTGAGGAAACTTAAATGTTTTGTTATATAATTGTTTAAATAAAAATTTAAACTAATGGAGTATACTTACATATGTATTATATTCCTAAAATCTAAAATCTTTATTCAAGTCTAGAATTTAATTTAAGAATTTTTCGTAAATTTCAAAAAAAGAAAAGTATTTTTTGTTCCTTTTAGATAAAAAGAATAAAAAATTGAAGCAAAAAAGTTTGTAGTAATTTACTTAAAGCTTTTTATGTGTATTTATTTATATTTATTTGATTTATTTATTTGAAAGTTAAAAAATAAAATAAAAATTTATTTGTTCGCTTAAATGTAGCAGATTTTATTTATAAAGAAGTCTCATTACTAATTCTCATTACAAATATTTAAATTAATATTTTTAAACTCTATTTTATTGAAATTTGGATTATCTCGTTGTAGAAAATAGGATTAAAAAGAGTTTTAGTTTCTTTAAGAGAGAGAAAGAAAAGTTGTTCTCTCAAAATAGCCCATCCAAAATAAAATAATAATTTTAATTTTTGATTTAGTAAGTTTAACAAAATCATTGTCAACCTAATTTGAAAAATGTAAGATTTGAGGATATTCTTTTACGAATACTTTTGTTTATTATGGCAAGGATAACATAATAATGAATATATAAAGTTTTAATTATTAGAGTTTGTTTATTATTAAAAATTCCCAAACAGGGATTCGAAAATATTAAACAAGTATTTCTAAAATACCTATGTTTTTTTCAAAGCACAGCACAGTTGCTGTGCTTTGAAAATATTATTAAAGAAATTCCCAAACATTATTAAAAATTCCCAAACAGATTCTGAAAAAAAATTAAACAAGTTTTCTAAAATACACTAAAAACGTTTATTTTTTCGATGTATGTATTAGGGTTTTGAGCCATTAAAACCTTCAAAATAAAATTATCATAAAAATTCTAAAAAAATTTAAAGATATTTTGAAATTTTAAATTTAATCAGATATTAAAATATTATTAAAAAAAATTTTTTTAATATTTTTTATAATAAAATAAATGTTTTATATTAAAAAAAAGAAAGGGAGGGAGGGAGAGAAATAAATTTGAAATTGACACCAATACTCATCTTTAAAATTTTTATTAAAGAAAATAAATTTTTTATCAAATTACAAGCATTTTCTTGTTAAATAAAAAAAAGTTTTTTTTATCCAATATAGATATTAAATATATATTTTTGGAATGAAATAATGGATAAAATATTAGGCCAAAGAACAAAATATTTTTAAAAAATGCCTTTTTATTTTTTCTAAATTGAAATTTGTAAATAAAGGAGGATTAATATTAAGAGATAAACAAAAATCTAGTAATAAAAGTCTAGTACCAATATTAATTGGTAACCTCAAAAAATAAAGCTAAAGAAGTAGCTAAAAAATAAAATAGATATAATAAAGTTAAAAAAAAATAAAATAATAAAGTTTGAATTTAGAAGATAAATTCGTTTAGTTCCAGTAGCAGGAACAAGTACGATGGGAACCAGAGCTCGTTTCATACATTGATGATTGCATTTTTTTTCGTTTCGTTGAGGGGAAAATTTCATTTTCGCCCAGCTCTGATGGGAACAGGTCAAAAAGGAAAAATAAAGAAGATAGAAACAAAATCGGCCACAAAATTGGGCCAAAAAGGTGGCATTACCTATTTTAAACACATAAAAACAATTAAAATTTTCAATAATTTTAATGATAAAATAATAAACATTCCAAAGATTTCAATAAAATGATTTTACTTTTTACATAAAAATAATCTAAAGAAAATTGTTTTTCTTATGAATTTTATGTATATCTTTCAAACATTAATTTCTTTTACTACAAATTTTGAATTCTTTTTTTATCCAGATATAATCTTTCTTAAATTACATGGATATTCTTCTAATATATATATTCCAGTCCCCAAAATATACATTCCATTTCGTTTTTCTAATATTATAGCTTTTATCCATTCAGTTTTGTCTTCAATTTTATCATAGATACATACTTCAACTTGTTCACCGACTTGAAAATTTTCAATTTTAAATTTCCTCATACTATAAATATTTCTATTAATTATACCTCCAATCAATTTACATTTCCCTACAACTTCTAAACTATAATTATTTCCCTGGTTAATTTCTAATATTTTTGCTTTAATCCAATTAGTTTCTTTTGTTTGTTGGTCAAAGTTTTTTACCTCAATAATTTCACCAATTGAATAATGTTTCAAATCTTTTGATATATCATACTTTCTTAATTCCTCCGAATAACGTCTAAAAATCATGCCATAACGATGTCCACTTAAAACACTAATTATATACTTCCCCGCTTCTTTTCCTATTATTTTCCCTAAAATCCATTCATTATAGTTCTTTATTTCAACAATTTCGTCAATCTGGAAGGTGTCATTAACACTACTATATTTTCGAATATCTTTTGAACACCGAAAAAACTTTGCGCCAAAAAGTGAACTATTTATTATTTTAGCTTCATAACCTCCATTTTCGATTTTTACAATTTTTGCTAATAACCATTCTGTGCCGCCTGTTAATTTGTTCCAATTATTTACTTCAACCATTTCGCCAATTTCAAACTCTTGCTCTCCTTTTGGGCACCTATTTTGATTTTATTAATTACATATATTTAATTTATCTATTTTAATTCTGAATTAATTATTATAAAAGATTTTTCTAAATTATTATTTCATAAGTAAATACCCTCCAAAATCATTCTCTGTTGGAGACCATATTTTGTCCTCCTTATATAATGGTAAATATTTTTTATTTTGAAAATTCTGCCTATGCTTTTCAAGTATTTTTTTCTTTTGATTTAAACTTTTTGGTTCAGATGGTGATGCTTCTTCTGCAAAAAAATTAAAAGATTATTGGGTCAAGCCGCCAAGTTAAATAAAAAAAATAACCTAAAAATGGTAAGATGTCAAATGAAGCTGACTCGTCTTCAAAGTCCTCATAAGAGTTTGAAATTAATGATAAAATTATTAATAATAGTGGAATAAACATTTCTAAAATTTGAAACATTTTAGAGAAAACATTCATGTTAATCAAACATTCCAAATGTTAAAATAATTAACTGCTAGAATTGCCCGATTTGAGGAAATTTACATGCATATTTACTATTTATTTATATTTAATCAGCGCGTTTACACTGATGAAAATAAATACGAATACAAACAATACAAAAAATTAAAATGTATTTTAATACTAAGTAAGAAATAAAAAAATATTTTAAATTTGTATGTGCCCTTAAAACTCATTATACGTCTTCAATTATTCCCTGAATTCCATAAACTTATTAATTTATTAATATGTTTACTCAAACGGGACGTTATCATGGGGCATCATTATATGATTATCCAACCCTTAGACACTATTCATCCTCCAAATGACGATAAATAAATAGTTAAGAGCAGAGATCGGACTTGTAGTATCATCGAGAATCGAGATCGTTAAATCTCGATAAATCTCGATAAAAGCTTGAAAAATCTTGTTGTACGAGAATCTAGATCTCTATCAAAAATCTCGATTTTTGATCAAGATCGCGTCTCGGTCCGATAGCTTCTATGTAAAAGAATATCTCTCAAAAGATAGAGGGCACTGTTTATTTTAAATAAAAATTAATTCTCTAAAATATGAGGTAACATTCTATTAATATTTTGAATTTGATATTGTTTTAAAACAAAAAAAAAGAAAACAAAAAGCAAATGTTAATTATTTTTTTTGTTTTTAAAGACTTAATAATATGTAAATAATAATTTTTAATAAAGAGTGATGTAAAAAAATAAATGTAAATTAATTATGAAATTAATGTTGAGAGGCATTCACCCCTCTTAAAGCTTTAAAGGGGGGTGAATGCCACTCAACATTAATTTCATAATTAATCAATTTTTTGTCAATGCCTATAATTAATTAATGTGTTTTTATGATTGATAAATTCGACATTAAAGTCTGAGTTGGTTAGACCTGGATTGGTGATAACAGAAAAAATTGCAACGGTTGGAAGGGTACCGTTCCTTTAAGTTATATTTACTAGAGATCGGTCTGGAGCTGGATCCAGTCTGGATTTTTCCTGGATCCAGAGCCCAGATCCAGGATTTTTGAAAATAACGATCTCTAATATTTACTACCAAAAAATATAGATTAAAAGATTAAACAAAAATTATTTTCTTCTTTCTTTTTATTGTAAATCTTCAAAGTAGGAGCTCTTTTTCTACTTAATTCTTATTTTTTCTTTTATTTTTTAAAATTTATTTGCTCAACATAAGCATGTTTGTCTATTTATTCTCCTTCCATTCATCTAAAAAATCCCTTTATTTTTTTGTATTTTTACAATCAATTTTTTACTAAAGCTAATATTTTTTAGCTTTTCTAAAAATTATTTTTTTGAATTATTATATCTTTAATCTGATTATTTTTTCTGATAAAAAATATTAAAATGGACAAAACACAGCGTGATTTAGGTTATTTAATTATTTTCTAAAATTTTTTAAATTAAAAAAAAATTTAAGAATTATTAGGTATTTTAACTTTTGCCGCCCCCAGTTTATTATTTCATAACTAAAGGGAGGAAGAGGAAACAGCTGGTTTTAATTCTATTTTTTACCTCCTTTTTTTAATATTTTCTTTTCAAATGTATCTAAATATTTCTAACGTTCCTTTCTTTTTTTCAGTAAAATTTTTCATCAAAAGCTAAAAAAAGCTCTCTCATTTTTTTCAACAAATCAATCCTTTCCCCCATTCATTTTAATTTTTCCGTTCAATTTCTTTATTTATTTTTAAATTATCTGATAAATTTTTCCTTTTCGAGAAAAATAAATGCGTTTAGAAAAAAGTTCTGATGTTGGTCGTGGCAAATTTGAAGATGAAGTAAAGCCGGCTTTAGGTTAAGAAATTACCTCTTTTATTGTTGTTCCCTTTAATTTAAAAAAATCTTAGTTGTTGTAGGAGGAGGGAGGGGGGAATATTCTTTTAAATTACCTCTCTTTATAATAAAAATTCAAATGATTCTTTAAAGAACTACTTCTCAACGATTTACAAAGAACAACTGAAATACTTCGAAAGGGTCATCTACGCAAGGCAGGAGATGATTATGATTTTGAGACGGCTGATAATACTGAGCGACTTCTTAAAGAAGCATCCAGTGGAAAATCTAAAAGGTGGATTGGACAGTAGTTAAGCTTTTTTGAGTTGCATGAATATATTAACTGTTAAATTATTATTTTTAATTAACAGATTATTAAATTATTATTTTCAGTCCGTATGCCCATCGAAATGTTGGTGAAGTTTCTCCCCTTCTCTCTGATGGATTTAACTCTGCAGAGGTTCTTGTTAACCTCGCCTCCCATTAATATTTCACATTTCTTAGTTTTCAACAACTACGCCTTTGAAAGCTCAACGAGATCCTATGTTGGATGGAGACAAACTTGGAATTCATACAATACCTAAGGGGGATTGTCCTCAATGCGGGGAGGCTGTTATTGGTCCCGTGGTAATAGCACTTGGAAGAATGTGGCATCCAGAACATTTCTGCTGTGCACAGTGTGGTGATCCTATTGGCCATCGAAACTTTTTTGAGCGACAAGGAAAGGCATATTGTGAAAATGACTTTCATGGTATTTCAAAATAATTTTTATCTAAGTGTTAGCAGCATTTATTATTATGTTTTCCTTATCAAATTTTAATAATTATATTTCATTTCAGATATGTTCTCCCCCAGATGTCACTATTGTAATGGATCTATTAAGGAGGTATGTCATAAAATTACCGTTTTCTACTTAATATTGAGAACATAACGAGCTGTTTTGAGAATTTTATAATTATTTTTTATTGTCTAAAAGAATGACATTCAGTCAATTTTCTCGATATATTTCCAAAAAATATTAATTTTTAAGCGTTGTGTAACCGCTCTTGGAAAAACATTTCATGTCGATGTTTGTTTTTATTTAATTTTTGAAAAAAATTATTTGAAGCATTTTGTCTGTGCCGAGTGTGGACATCCTTTCCTCGATGGGGGCTTCCATGAAAGGGTTATTAAATAATTTATTAGAGGGGTTACTAAATCCTAAAATATTTTATATAGTCCAACTCTGCTTATTGCCGTGATTGTTTTTATCGTCAACACGCTCCCAAGTGTCAAGGATGTAAACAACCTATTACAAACAAATTCATAAATGCTTTAAACACCCAATGGCATCCCGAATGTTTTTGTTGTCAGGTGGTTAAAAATAAATAAAAATATATTTTTAAATTAAATAAAAACAAAATGTTTGTAGCTTTTTTTTTGCTTCTAGCTTTTTATTTTTTGCTTGATTTTTAAGGGATGTAGTCGCTCCTTTCTTTTTGCCGCTCCATTTGTGTTCTTTGATCGTTTACTTTGTGAACAATGTTTACATACATGCCAAGGATCTTTATGTTCTCATTGTCATTTACCAATAACTGGGCGTTGTATTTCTGCTTTAAACGATCAAAAATTCCATCCGGAACATTTTTGTGAGAATTTTGGGAATTTTAAAAGCTTTTTTTAAACTTTTTTTGTTCTTTAATTAGTGTGTTGTAATTGTTGTCGACAAATAGATAAATGTAGTTTTAAAGAACATAATGGAAGGGCTTTTTGCATTTCTTGCTTTCAAAAGATGATAAATTGGCAATAATAAATGTTTGTTTTTGATTGGTGAAATTGAGAGTTTCCTTCTTATTTTTTTTTGCTTTTTGCCTTTTTAAAATTAAGAATTCAATTTTTTTGTATTTTTTTTGACAAAAATTTTTGTTTTAGGCCGACAAGTATTTTGGTGAACGTTGCCCAATGGCTGTTGACATTTACGACGAGATTGATTTAGATGATGATGAAACTTTCAATAGGACAAGAGATTAATTAATAAATTTTAAAATTTTTGATTTTTCCCAGTATTTGTAAGAACCAAAAATACGACAATAAAATACATGTATTGAATTCCTTAAATCGGATTTCAGCTCAGAAATATACATAAATTACCTCCATTTTTTGACGCTTTATCCAACCCCCAATATCTTTGATTCCCATGAATAATTCTTATAATTAATAAAAAGTCAATTTTTATGAGTGTTAAGAATAAATTTTGAATAAATTTTTATTTTCAACTTTTACACCTTACTGTAAAAACAACAATAGTTATTAATAAATAATAGTGATTTTCTCTTTTGATTTATTAACTGAGGTCGGAAAAATTGTGTTTGTGGGATCCCGCATGCGGGAGCAACTTTTAATTTTGTCTGCGAGAGTAACGCCCGCGGGAATAAACCCGCAAATCTGAAAAAGTGCGAGACTGCGGAAGCAGTATCCCACACTGACCTCTATTTCATTAACTAGCTGAGGGAAAACTTCTCCAAAAATTTTAAAAATTAATGAGTTTAAATTTAAATTAAGTGTAAATTTTATAATTTTATTTAAAAATTAATTTATTCGACCACGTTTAATTCAAATGTTTATTTTCAGGTATGGACGGTTGCCACGTTTTATTTTTTTATTTAAAACTTTTTTCAATTTTTATTATTTTCCTGACTTTTTAAATTTTCTCTTTCTCTATTTACAGTCTAAACTTCACTTATTTATTCTTTCCTTCATTTGTTTTTAACTTTTAGGTAATCTTAGGTTTCTGAAAATTTTAACCAACTTCCAATTTTTTAAAGTTTTTTTCAGTTCATAAGTTCTCGCATGAGTGGAGTCAGGATATAATACCAGATGATCACATCTCGAATCTAATATTTAGAAAATCTTACTTTATATCCAAGTGGGTAAACTTTCACCCGGTCCACCAAATTGAGTCGATGATGTTAATTTAAAAAAAATCAAATATTTAGGTTTATGAGTGAGTGATTGAATGAAATTTGCTGTATCTTACAAAGTGTATGGCGACAAAGTGGTACCTAGGGGAAAATGCGACAAAATGGTACCCGCTAACTAATATCTGTCAGCTGACAATCAGCTGATTTTATTCAGATTTAAATTTTATTTTTTTTCTGACTCCGGTTCGGAAATAATCCTAAATTAAGAGACCCCCGTATTTATACCTCAAGATCCGGATCGATTACTGACGTCGAACACTGTCATTTTGTTTATATTTTAGTCAAATATTTGTCTGTTACCATTTTGTGCCTGTATCAGAATTTCTTTTTTAATTATAAATTAAATTTTTTTAAATCTTTTTTTAATTTAAAGAGTTTTTAAACCTAAAAATAAAATGGTTACAACAGTTAAAAACAACAAACTTAAATGGTTATCCCTTTTTGTGCCCAAAAGGGCATAAGCCCTACACTATTTTCCCATTCCTCTCGCATTGTTATATTTACGTACTATTTTTATTTACCGCCCACAATTTATTTTGTTTAACCACGCCTACTTTTGGCTGTCAAGTTAGCGCTCGGCTGTCCCTAAAATCACTTCTTTCAATCTTCTTTCAATTTCCAACTTCTCTCAAAATCTTATAATTTTCTAATTCCTTTAAACCCAATCAATTAAACCAACTTTTCTCCCTTCAACTGGGAGCAGGAGAGCGGAGCACTAACTTAAATTATTTGTTCGCATTTTCACCACATATTTTAATCACCAATTTATTCACACCGCGGATCCCGAGCTGTTATCGGACCGCTAAATTTATTTGTTAATTAAATAAATCTTTTCTTCTTTGGTGTGTGTATTTTTGGGGATTTTGGGTAGGCTGTCGTCGTCATCATCGCTTATAAGTTTAAGAGAACTTTTGAGTTCTCTGTCCTCCCTTTATAAGCGTCCGTCCCTCCCATAGCCGGAGGCCGTACAAATTGTGTGTCCACCCGAAAGGGCTTTTGGGCACATATAAAAATTGGAGCCCCGTACGGGTCCGCAGTCCAATCGCACTGCCCCCGTTTCTTCAGGCAATTGTGCCAATCAACACGTCTGCCTTTTTAGGCTAAATTTTGTGTTCTCATCCTGAACACGCGGTTTTGGCCACCAGAGCCAACCGTTATCTGCTCATCAGCCAGCAGCACACGAATACTTACTCTTGGAGAGTAAGTCAACATTTATCTTCTCACAAGTCAGCAGTTCACGAGTTCATCATCTATTACTCCTGGAGAGTAATCCTTAAGTCGGAAACTATCCGATTCACAGCCTTACCCCACAAGCCCGCACAACAAAGTGCGCAAAGTCGTGATCCCTCAAGCGGACCGACATACATTCACGCTCCTTGAAGGACGCAGTTTTTTCCGCGAACAAACCCGCTCATCCCCTTTTCTACAATTTCAATCTTTGCTCTTTGCTAGCAATTTTTTTGTGCTTATTTTGCACATTTTTCTTGAAAGAAGTCATTCCTTTGTTTACCAAAACTTAGGTCTTAACACATTTCATCAGTTGTGCACATTTTTGCACAATTTTACACGAAAAACAAGAAAGGAATTTATTTGGCCAAATCATCGGCCAATCAACAAGTTTACAAGTTGGTGCATTTTTGCACATTTTTTGAGAAGAAAAGGGACACGAAAGCCTTTTCTTTTGTTTGGCCATAACTTTGGCCATTCACACGATTGGCGCATTTTAGAGCGCGGCAACACGAGTTTAAAGAACACTGACTTTTCGCTCTGTGAGCAAGTCATTTCTTTTGTTTTGGCCAACCCGTCGGCCAATTACACGGTTAAGTCAGAGCGACTGACTTTACATTTTTAGTGTTTATTTACATTTTTCACACATCTGCGTTTATTTTTCTCTTTTGAGAAGAGAACTTTGTGCTGCCACTTACCAGTCGCGGTAAACATCAATTTAGCACAAAATATACCAAAAGTGCTCTCTTCTCATATTTTCATCAATTTTCTGACTTTGATAGTCAGTCTTCAGCGAGTTTATTTTTTTAGCTTAAAGGCACAAGTTCCTTAAGCTTTTGCGTTTTTGGACTAAATTAGCTAGTCCAACGCTTTTAAGCAGATTATTATAATCGCTTATCACAATGCCATCTTCAGGACATATTCGAAGGAAAATTGGGCTAGCTCTGAGAGCCCTCAAGGATCATATTATCGCGGCAACCACCCTTTTGGGTAATGAACAAGAAGCACAAAACCCGGCACGCCTCCGGGCTGAAAGACATCAGTTGATTCGCACACTTGAGCGAATAGAAACTCTCGATCACGAGTGGACAGGATTTATTGATCTCCTGGATGGAGGAGATTTGGAAGCTGAGGAGCAGCTGTACAATACGTTTCCTCCTAATGTACAGGAAGGACAAGTGTGGGTCCATTTCATGGACTTCGCAGAACAGGCCCGAGGAATTATAGGCGAGTTAGACTTCCTCCTTTTGGAAATGGAGGAAAGAATTACAGAGGCTAGTGAGCGTAGTGAACGAACACGAGAGTCACAACGCATTCAAAGTCGAACTCAAGAAGAACAAAGCATTGGAGAAAACAAGGTCAAGGACACTCCTTTATTACCAGACACACGTTTACCAGAGCTCAAAATGGAGCCATTCAATGGAGATCCGAAGAAATGGCCAGCTTTCTGGCAATTATTTTCAATCAACATCGACCAACGCCAAATGGACAATGTTAGGAAAATGAGTTATTTACTCACCCTCCTCCAAGGTCCCGCTAAAGATTTAGTTGCGGGATTCATTTTATCCAACGAGAATTACACGAGAGCATTGGATTTGCTCAAATCACGATATGGCGATAATCGAGCCATCACTGAAGCACTAGAGTCGGAGCTCATGAATCTGAGCCCGCCAAATGAGTCCTGCCATTCAATTCGATCTTTCGTAGATTCGATTGAACGAATTTGCCGTCAGTTGGAAGCTTTCAATATTGTCGATCAATCTCCATTTATATCGACAGCCATCAAGTCCAAGTTGCCCCGCTCTATTGTCTCTAAACTAGTAGAGAAAGAGCGAGGGGCAGAATCTCGTTGGAATTGCGCTCAGCTCAGAAAAGAGCTTATCAACATTGTCGAAATCAAAGAAGAGGTTCAGCGATGTACAACCTCACAAGCGCCCAAAACACGAACTGAGACGACTGAGAACCACATTTCCTCTAGAAGAGGAAATTACCAACCACGACAAGGAGTACAGGAGCAATCGCGTACATTTATTGCTCCGGCTCACGTACACAAGAATAGACCGTTTGGGAAGTTTGGACAAAGAGAATGCTCCCTATGTCATCAAGGAGCACACTTCCCAAGCAAATGTCCAAGATATCCGACACCACAATCGCGTTTTAATCGGTTAAAGGAGCAGCACCGTTGTATAAGGTGTCTGCGCGAGGGCCACTCATTTAAGGAATGCCACCTTCCTATGTTATGCCGTATCTGCCAGGGCAAACATAGTTTTCTTGTTTGTACCACGTCGACAACGAGGAACCAAACACGACCTAACAAGACAAACAAGAAGGGCACTGCGCCGAATAGGCAGTTTACCCAAATGACAACTACGATCGAGACTCCATTGACTGGAGCTAATTTAACACAAGAGGATTCTCTCGACTCGGAGAGTGATCCAACAAAAACAGTTACAGCCATGGCATTTCCTCACTTACGCAAAAAGTTATCAGCGTACCTAATGACACGAAAGTTGGCAATCGAATCGCCAAAAGATAAGAACAGCCGAACACTCGCTTATGTGTTCTTCGACCCGGGCAGTCAGCTAAGTTACATCACCAAGGA